CGTGGTGCGCAGAGTGTGACAGAGATCAAGGCAGGAACAAAATAGGGCATTTGTTTACACAGATGTGCATTTCAAAGTACGCTGAGGGCAAAGGTCATGCGCGATGGATGCACACAGCGAACTAACTATAATTGGACAGAAGCCCAGGGGTACGCGGATTACTGCAGTGGCTAGGCGGTGAGTTATGTGTTCTCGGAGGGTGCAGCAGTACTAGCGAATGAGCGGGAAAATGTGTTTCGTTATTCAACCGAGGACAGCCGAGGTGGACTCACAGTGCTAGTTTCAATTTACACAAATGACTGATGATCTCTTCGCAAACGTAAAACAGCACATATCGACTGTAACAAAGTATAGCAGGATGAAAGACAATGAGGTGCCATTAGACTTCCCATGATGAAATGGGCCTTCAGCGGTCAAGGTACAGTACATGTTTGTTCAGTCGCACATTGCAGTTCAATCTAGAGCCTACGCAAGTAAACTACGTCTGTTGTGGGATAGGGCAGACCAAAACTATAAAGCACATACTTTTTAAAACGTATAACAATGTCAAGTAATAGTTGATGTGTTTCCATCTTCTCATCTTCCTCCTCCCACGAACAGGATGCTGATCTGGGACATTGTGCATCTGTATTTTTAACTCACTTTAATAAAAGACATACGAATAAGTTCGCTTTAGTGTCCTGGTCTACTAGTCTACTGGATCTGGGAAGGACAAACAATTGCCAATACAAGCGAACATACGAATCCCAGGACGTAGTTGTAAAGAAGATTCGAGCGCTAGAACAGCACTTTTATTCGCCTGACATTTCGACAACGGTCGTGGATTCCTTATCAGGGATATGAGCAGAAAGCACTAGCAGAAAGGGGTAACATATGCAGAGGAAGTTGCAGTATTTACAGGACAGAGTCATTACTGCACAGGTATGACAAATAACGAAAAGTAACGATACTTGGCCTCTTATGCTTTGATCGCTTGATTATCGGCATGCGGGCCCTGACTTGCTGAACTTTCATCACGCGTGGTGGAATTGGACGTGATGATTGCTCGGCTATCCGATTTGCCGGTGTTAGCTAAAGACGACGCTGTGGCCGATGATTTATTACAGGGGTTTATTGTTAATATGCGAGGATCCTTGCCAGGCCCGGTCCATGTAGGAAGAGAAGAAGTGGGACGCCATGTGGGGGGATTAATACGTTCTGTACGGAGGAAGTGGAGAATAAGTTGAAAAAAGTTGGCAACCGTATGAGCGTGTGAAGTTTGAGAGTGTGAGAATCACCACAGCAGTCATCTGTGTCTCACTTTTGGGAAAATAATTAGTCAGATAGGTTTGGGGTCGTCAGATATTGGTGCGCACATGCAAGCAGCCGCGACGTGCGAGAAGGCGGATGGTGCGCTCGCAGGTGGGCCAGTAAATTTTGGTTGGAATGTCGAAGGTTGATCGAACTCGGATGACTATCAACACAATAGGGAAGGTCAGTTACTAATACAAGCGAACACGCGAATCCCAAGAGGTAATTGAGAAGAAAAGAAGAGTAC